CCACTGAGGAAAGGGAATCGGTAGCACATAGGCCTTGATGGGACTTGCTCTTATTGTAGATGGTTCTTCTTTCTCTCCATTTTTATTTTCATTTGTTGCAGATTTCTCGTCTTCAGGCATCCCTTCAACTTCTACCCCTTTCTCTCATCTGTCTTGCCTTTTCACACGTATCTCAGGTAGTTATACTCCACTCCTGGTATTAATAGCTTGCACTTGCTCTTTTAGATTTATCATTGTATTGCTTGACAATGTCCCTTGTGGCCGTTCTGCAAGCTGTTGAGCTTTCTGACCGATTTGTGTTTCCAACTTCTTGATCGATGCTTGTTGATTCTGGAAATTCATATCGATTTGTTGGAACACCTTATCTGTCTTTTGTATGTATTGGTTGAACATCTCCCTTGCACTTGGTTTTTTCTCTTGCTGAACATTATTTGGAACATACGCGAGCTAATTATCAGACCATCTGAAGTTCGGGTGCTGTTTCCATCCTGGATTATATGCTTGTGAATAAGGGTTGAAATTTCAAGAGCCATTCTAAATGAAGTTGACATGTTCCTCGAGAAAGCTCATAGACATACAGTTTTCTGTTGAATGACTAGCTCCACAGATTTCATATGATGGACCATTCATTACTGCGTGTGCTCCCTTCATTTGTGATTTCACCAATAATTCTACTTGCTTTGTTAAGGCTGCTATCAGCGCGTTGGTAGATGTTGTGTTATCAGGTTTATGCATCCTAGATACTCTCGACGGTACCACTCTTTCTGATAAAAACATTGAGTGTGCAGTGGTAATTAGCTCAAATAGATCCATGGTTTGTTGTACTGGTTTTCCAATTATTGATCCACCCGCAAAGGAATCCACATGAGATTTTGACAATGGTGAGAGTCCGGTGTAGAAGTACTGCACTTGATTACCAATTGGAATTCCATGATTTGGGCATTTTTACATTAACTATTTGAATCTGTTTCATGCCTCATGATAGCTCTTTCCATTCCGCTATTGAAAGGTTTGAATCTCTAACCTGAGTTTAGCTACTTTTCCTAGTGGAATTTGTTACAGAATTTTCTAGTAAGGTCTTCCCATGTAGTAATGCGTGCATGAGGTTTGGTGTCCAACCACTCCAAAGGCATCTCTAAGTGTATATGGGAATACACACAATTTAATAGCATCTTCATTGACCCCCGGAGCATAAAAATTCTGATAATTTCGAATAAATCTATCTATGTGTGTATTTAGGTTCTCATGAGGCAACTCGTAAAATTGGAAAGTGTTACTCATCAGATTTATCCATTATGTNGGGAAGACACACAATTTAATAGCATCTTCATTGACGCCCGGAGCATGGAAATTCTGATAATTTCAGAGAAATCTAGAGATGTGTATATTCAGATTTTCATGAGGTAACCTGTAGAATTGGGAGTGTTTCTCTTTAAATTTATTAATTCTGCCCTTATCTGAAAACTGTTTACCCTGAAATCTGGATACACTACTACTGGAGCGCGTAGGTGCAACTATGGGTGTCAAGAACATTGAAATGGGCAAATCTCCTTCATTTATTTCCCTTTGCTCTCGCTGCTGATCTGGTGGTTCAGCTACTCCTGCGACAGCATGTCCAATTGGCTGAATAGGAATGGAAATGTTTTGATTGTCCTGTCATTTGCGTTGTTGTTTTTGTTTGTGTTCTTTGCGTCTTCGCCTGAAAGTGTATTCTATCTCCGAGTCAAACTTTTCAAGTTCGTCACCTTGGGCACGGAGCATGCAACGAACACTTTTTTTTTCTGTAAATAAAAGAAATTAAACAAATCAAATAACAGTTAAAACTAAACTAAACTAAAACTAAAAGTAACTAGTCCCCGGCAACGGCGCCAAAAACTTGTTAAGTTTTTTTATATCGCAAGTGTACGATTTCGTAACAAATAATATAATAAAACTTAAAGTCCAGATTATCGTTCCCACGAGGACTATATTTCAGACTTAATCTACTTTTTCCTAACTCCTATTTGATAAAACACAAGTAAAACAATGGTAATAGTTATGAAAATTGGTTTTCTTTTGTGAACTCCAAAAACTTAAAACTACTGGAAAGTATAAAAAGATTGCAAACACTGAATTATTAAAGATTCAAATACGTAATGAATATTAGGGCTGAACAAGTTCATCTAATAACCACCTTAATTCTTAATTCAAGATTCTAACCTAATGCAGTGTTCGGTCGAATTCTTCAATTATATTCAATTTGCCCCTCTCGAGTTCTCATTGAACCTATTTAACTAATTCAACAATATCTATATGCAAATTACCCTTAATTAAACGAGACACTAGTTCTAAGAATT